TGGGGGGGGGGGGTGTCTTTCAGTTATCAGGCTCTTCTCTTGTGGAACCAACTTCCAGTTTCTGTTCATAAAGCTGACACATTGTCCAGTTTGAAGACTGGACATAAAACTTTGCTTTTTGATAAATCCTATAGTTAGGGTTGGCTTGTTATGCTGCTACAGACTTAGACTACTAGAGGACAAATTGACCTCATTTCCTTAAATGAATTGTTAAAATTAAATAGTTTTCATTTGATACTATTTCTATCTTAACATGTGATTCTTGACCTGCCATTGTGTATCTGTTCCTCTCAAACCCAGCTGGTCGAAGCAGACGGCCTCTTGTCCTGAGCCTGGTTCTGCTAAAGGTTTCTTCCTCATGAGGGAGTTTTTCCTTTCCACTGTCGCCTTCATGCTTGCTCAAGACGAGAGTTCTGTGATGAAGTTAAACTCAAAGCTCCTCATATAAATAATGTTTAATTATTATTTTTATGTATGAATGTTTCTGTTCAGTACCTGGAGACGACTTCTGTTGTGACTTGACGCTATATAAATAAACTGAATTGAATTGAAGTAAACAGCAGGACAGAAGGTTTTAATGTGAAAATAAAAAATATCGGAATAGAAAAATGTACAAAGCCCAAAAGCCACGGCAGAAAACCTGAAAACCTGAAAACCTGGACTTCAATCAGTCAGCCTGGTATTTTTATTGTTTCTGCAACAGTGACTGAGCAAACTGATGGACGTCTGCCTTAAAGCTTTGTGTCTGTGGGGAGCAACGTCAGGCGAGGGGGGGTCTGTTGCGAAATGACAGGATGTGACGGTGTGTTTTTGACCACCGTCCCTGACGACAGCTATCTTTGTGGTTATTAGAGAAGAAAAACTTTGGGTCTCCGCGCTTTAACGACTGAGCGACACAAAATTTTAACTCGTCTCCAGGGAACGAACGAATGACGTGTGAAGATGTGGCTGCTCCTGCTGGTTAACCTAAAGTTAATGGATAACTTCAATCAAAACTTTATGGAGTAGTTGATGTTTGGTTATTATACAAGATGAAGGCGGATGATAATGTTTTTGTGTGAATTCACATGTCTGTTAACGAAATATCCCACAAACCACTGAATGGATTTTAATGAATGTTTTAGAAAATAATCATTGGATATGTTTCTACAAATGATTAGCTTTTGGAGTCACCTGCAATTCAAAATGGCCACCACAACCAACTTATTTTAAAAACAGATAAATGACCATAACTTATTGAGTTTTACAGATACATAGCTGAAATTTGGTGTAGTAATAGCTTAAATTTATTCACAACACATGCTCCAAGTGTAACGTATTGTGCTACCGTTTTGCTTAAAATATTGGTATTAACTGCTAGAAGGCAGCCTTGTATGTCTGTTAACAAAATTTCTCAGAAACCACAGCTTTGTTTTGTTTTTTTGAATGTCCAGAGGACCAGATTGAACTTTTTTGGATTTTTCTACCTGGATTATTGAGCATGCATCAGGATACACAGGACAAATTGTAATACAACTTTCAGAAAGTAATCGGTGGCTGTGCATCTACAGTTGAGTCGCATTTGGAGTCAACTCATTTCAAGATGGCCGCCATAGCTAATCCACCTCAGCCAATGCATTACAGGCTGTAAGCCAGTTATTTTATATTTTAAAGTGCCTGTGACATCAAATCTTTGTGAGAAACACAAATGTAATTTTGGAAAGATAACATTAATAGCATAATGCAAAGAAATTAACACGGATGAGATGAACTGTCGAGATGTTCACGTGCGCAGGAACAGGAAGTGATGACACGAAGGGGAACACCTGCATGTAAACGGAGCGCTGCTATAATGGCCGACAACACAGACAGAGAAGAACCTGATGCTTCTTTAGATCATTTTGAGTCACTATCAGGGAGAGACGAAGAAGAGGCAGTTTGTCTGAACACAGAGCATGGGGTGCCATTTATTCAAGAGTTCCCCTTCGTCATCACTTCCTGTTTCACTTCGGTCAGTTATGGGCGACAAAATGGATCGAATCATATGTATTTTGCAAAATTTCTTAACTATTAAGATGTTTTATTCCACTTAAAAAAAAAGTTTTTAAAATGTTGATTTATGGACTCATATTATTGGTCTTTTTATTTTCTGCTCCCGGATTTCAACTTTAAAACGTCTGAGAAAACTTACCCAGGATCTTGACCGTCTGCCTGTGTGACCTCTCTCGGGCCAGATAACACGGACCCTGCAGGTCATTCTTACTTTTCCACAGTTTGCACCCGATGGAGCCGTAGAGGAAGATGAGGCAGAGCATCGGGCAGAAGAAGTAGGTGGTGGACACCCACAGCATGATGTGCAGCTGCCCGGAGCTGATGGCGTAGCTGGTGTGTTTGCACTGCCCTGTGTTGAAGTCAGGGTGCGTTTCGTTGTCGTACTCCACTCCTACCAGGAACAGCGTGGGGGCCGCAGAGACCAGAGCGAAGCCCCACAGCGCCAGAATGATGTACTGGACCCTGCGTCGGGTCACCATCATCTTACTCTGGAGGGGGAAGCTAATGGCCACGTAGCGCTCAATGCTCAGGGCCGTGATGTGGAGGATGGTGGCCGATGTGCAGCCCTCGAAGATGAAGTGATAGAAGCGGCACACCGCCTCCCCAAAGAGCCAAGGAACGTACTTCCACAGGCGGTAGAGGTCAAAGGGCAGGCAGAGGAAGATGATAAGGTCAGACACTGCCATGCTGGACAGGTACAGGTTGGTGGTGGTCTTCATGTCTTTGAAGTGTTGGATGATGAGGATGGTCATGGTGTTGCCCATCACCCCGACGATGAAGATGAGGATGCAGATGACGGTGACAGGGATGAGGGTGGAGGTGGGGAACAGAGAGCCCACGTAGTGGTGGTCATCCATGTTGTACTGACCCATGGCCTCTGCTTCACAAGCATGAGGGTCCACCTGGGGTCTGACTCAGGCCATTCCAAACTCACTGTGTGGAGAAGCAGAAAGGTGGGAGCAACTGAAGACAAAGAAGACAACAGTATTTCTTTTGGATCTCTTCCTGGAAACATGCGCAATTCAGGATTTAGATGTGCTCTGTGTATTCCCACCTTGTCACGGTGGAGTTTGTGTGCCTGAATGATCCTAGAAGCTATGCTGTCGGGGGCAAACGCTGCTGGTAGGGCTTCCCAAGGCAGATTGGTCCTAGGTGACAGGCCAGACAAAGACCAATTCAGAATACTCGTATGGACGGAAGATAGCAAGAAGAACAATGTCCCTTGCCTGGACATTTGTTACCGGGGCCCTACCCTGGAGCCAGGCCTGAGGGACAGACTTGGGAGCTCTGACCTTGGCTTACCAAAGCTGGCTCTTGAGACATGGAATGTCATCTCTCTGGTGGAGGAGGAGCCTGAGCTTGTGCGAGAAGGTGAGACATACAGACTAGATATAGTCAGGCTCACCTCAACATGCAGTGTGGCCTCTGGAATCAATCTCCTTGATTGCGGCTGGGCCATATCCCACTATGGAGTTGCCCATGGTGAGAGGCACCGGGCTGGTATGGGTTTATCTATAGCCCCCCCGGCTTGGTGCCTGTGCATTGGAGTTCTCTCCAGTAGATGAGAGTGCAGCTTCCCCATGATCTCAAGTCGAGTGTGTGTGTGTGTTGTTTGTGCTTACACACTGAACACCAGACAAGAGTACCCAGCCTTCGTGGAGCATTTAGCAGGGGTGCTGAGGAGTGTTCCAGCTGGGGGACACCTTTATTCTGCTGGAGGACTTCAATGCCCACATGGGTAATGGAGGAACGGCCTTTCTGATCTGAACCAAGTGCTGTTGTTCGAACACAAGGGCACCCGGCACATAGGCCACAGATTGATGATAGACTTTGTACTCATGTCACATCTGATCTGCAAAGAGGAGCCGAGCTCCTTCCAACAACTTTTGCAGTAATGAGGACTCTGCTGGTCCCATTGTGGTGCAGAGGAAGCTGAGCTGCAAGGTGAAGCTCTCCGTTTACCAGTTGGTCTAAGTTCCTAACCTAACTACCTAACTTTGGTCACAAACTTGTGGTTGAAAAGAGTTTGAACTGGACTCTCCCTTAGAGACAAGAAGTTCAGTTATCCGATAGAGACTCGGAGTAGAGCTGCTGCTCCTCCCCATCGAGAGGAGACAGTTGAGGTGGTTGATGCCTTCCTATAGGGAGGTTTTCTGGACTTGGCCAGGAGTCCTCCCAGAGGAGCAGGAAGAGGTGGCTTTCAAAAGAGATGTCTGGGCTTCCTGCTCAAGCTGCTGCCCCCACGACCCGACTCCAGAACCAGCTGAAGATGATGGACGTACATGTGCAAACTGGACAACTCAGCTGACAATATTCATAGATTTTACTTATATGTATGAATTCAGACTCTGTTACTATTTCATAAAACATTTATTTTATGGACGTGAGTATTTCATTTGTTTCAGTTTGACTTATTTTTTTTTCACAACTAAAATGACAATTTTCTTTTGATTATAAAAGAAATACAGTACGCCACAGCTGCCTTGAAACTAATAAATACTCTCGTAACTAAAGTTCAGCAATAAATAACGTAAAAACATGAAAAGTCAAATCTTAAACTAAATGAACTTCAGCTCCAAAATATAAAAAGTAAAAGTTAAATAAAAGATTTTACCTGGAACATTCAAAGCAGTTTTGAAAGTTTCTTTGTCCCTGTCGGGTCCTCGTGTGCAGACGGAGAGCAGCAGCAGAACTTGCCCTGGTGCTCAGAGACCCACTGAGCTGAGCTGAAGAAAGGAGACACCTCCTGCACAGCACCCTGAGGAGACAGAGCATCGGAGGGGGCACCTGCTGTGTGTGTGTGTGTGGGTGTGTGTGTATCTTCATGATAAAATGACAGGACAAAAGATGACAAGGGGGGAATGGATTTAAGGTTACGTCAACCTCCATCCCCTTTACTCCACTCTGTCCATAAACACTGATTTATGCAACAGGAAGGAAGGAAGGGAGGAAGAGAAGACAGGAGCATGGAAGAGACTGAGAACACAAGGAAAGAAGAATGGAAAGAAGGGAGGAAGGAATAAAGAGGGAGAAAGGAAGCATGGATAAAGGACTTAAAGCTAGAAAGTGCTGAGGAAGGACAGGAAGGGAGAAAAGGAAGGACAGAAGGAAGGAAGGGGAGAAAGGGAGGATGGAAAAAAGAAAAGATGTCATGAAAGAAGGAACAGAAAGAAGAAATAAAGGAAGGACAGAAGAAAGGGACAAGGGATGTGGTTTCTGTGGATCAGGAGAAAAATGTTCAGCAGATTATTTACAAATATAGAAACCTGTTAAATAATAAGAGTTTAATGATGAATTTATATATTTTTTATTCCGAGGGTTTTGATCTTTCTGAACACAGAAAGTAAACAAACCCAGCCTTCCACAACATCATGGATTAAATGTGTCCCAACAACAGGCGTCGTCAGAGTTTTTAAATGTCCCGTCCGTCACCAGAGACGGGTCAACCATCAGAGTTGAACCATCACAGCAAGACTCACACGGCCATTGTGGTTTGTTTGCGTTCCCACTGAGCTGAACCACCGCTCGGACCTCAGAGGGTCAGCGGCCTCGTCTCTCAGTTTGCTCGTGTCAAAGCAGCGCAAGGAAACGGAGGACACTGGTGTGTTTTCCGTTTCCAGTCCGTCCCTCAACACGAGTCATCGTGAACGAGCTGAGCGAGACGACTCTCACCCTCATTCATCCTTCTGATCTGGACCGCTCGGTCGTTCTTGTGCTGTGAACCCAAAACAACTTACATTTAGATGAAAGTGATTTTATAGGCTCTGCCTGATACTTTGTTCCTACTTTGTTGCAACGCACCCTGCTTTTGAAATGCTTTGGAAATATGACGAGGGAGATTACCTAAAAACATAAAAATGTTGGGTTCGTAGGGAACAACGCACAGCACGGAATCAGAACATGTGACCTCAAATGAGCGGAAATTAAGGATGCACGATATTATCGGCATGGTATCGGCTGATGTTAGCGATAAAGTTAAATCTCGGACATCGGCCATTCCATCATAATAACACCAATATAAAAGGTGCTGTTTTTTAAATATATATTTATATAGTGTTATATCATTTTCAGCCTCCTTTTTGGCATCTGCATTTGGTAACGAGCCAAACTGATAAAGACCATGCCGAATAATGTATTTTAATTCCACAGCAGAGAAAGCTATGTAGTCTCTGTAAGTAACAGGGCTCCCTTGTAAATGAGTCCTCGAGGCTCAATGGGAACTAACCTGTATAAATAAAGGTTGAATCAAAAAAGTAGGTCTAGGGAAAAAAATTATCGATATTCATATCGGTTATCAGCCAAATGAGTTTTAACATATCGGCATATCGGCCAAAAATCCAATATTGTGCATCCCTAGTGGAAATGTTTATTTATTTTGATGACATGGCAGTTTCACTCCAAGTTGTTGCGCAGGCAAACAGAACCTTTAACAAACAAAACGTAGTTTGAAGTAACTTTTTTTTTTCCCCATCTGATCCATCTTGGGCGATTCGATTTCAAGCCTTCATACCTGGTTCGTTACCCCAAAATGTTGTTGTGATTGGATGACAAAGACCTGTTCAGTATGCAGACCCAGGCAGCTACTGCACTGTTAAATGTACAGGAACTAGATTTACTGGACATCAACTCGGCTCAGAAACATGCACCATATTGTTGTCGTTATCACTCAATAAGCCTGTCAGAGCAAAGATGGAGAATTTAAACCAATACAACTCCACATGTTCTGTATACAGAAGAGGTTATGTTTTATTTTAAAACAATTTTAAATGTATTTTATGTATGTATTGCATGCATGACAATGAGAATAAAAAAAACATTCAGTGTGATTCAACATTGTTCTAACTGTTGTCATTAAAACACTACGTTGTTGCTCACTGGGCTCATCTAGCTCTAAAACAATCAGAATTATTATAGAATTGCAATTGTTATTATCTGGGTGTACAAAAAAATAATTTTAAAAGTCTTCAGTTGATCCAAAATGCAGCTGCCAGAGTTTTAACAAGATTTAACTTTAGAAGAGATCGTATCTCTCCAGTTTTAGCTTCTCTCCATCCGTCAAATCCAGAATTGAATTCAAAATCTTACAAAGCTCTCAACAACCTAGATCCATCTTATATTACAGATCTTATTGTTCCATAGATGGTAACACTTTACAATAAGGTACACAAAATTTGCTTAACTACTATGGAACGCCTCAGGAATGAATCAGGAGCCAATGGGTAGTTAACTGCTACTTACTGGGGAACACACAGCCAAGCCTTATTAGGGGACTACTGGTTAGTTACCTTGTAAATGAAGAGGAACTAATAAAAAACCAATGAGTAGTTACCAAGGAAACCAAAGAGGAACTAATTAAGAACTAATGGGTAGTTAACCAATAGGTTTACAAAAAAGAAAATCCAACAAATTCAATAACCACTAGGAAACAGGTTTTTGACAAAACAAGCTGTGACCTCACTGGTGCAGGGTTTATTCAGAACCCTCATGGAGAGTTTCTCCTCCGTTTCTGTGGTGTAATGAGAGTACCTAGAGATGGATTTAGCTCAGGGGTGCCCTCTTACACTTTATAATATCTGGACTAATTCAAGTACATAATATTATACTTAATTTAAACGGATTCTTTCATTTTTCTGGACTAAGTAATATCGTGCCTAGAAGATTAAATGTGGACAAAGATGTGTTTAAATTTCTGACCCACCAACAACAGTGAGGTCTTTTATTCATCAAAACGATTTAAACACATCACACATTTTACACATTGATTGGCATAATTGATTACAATAACACAGCTTAATTAATGAGCTTTACAATGAAAAATCATACGGCCATGATTCCTCACTTGCAGCTTGAAACAACAGACATATCCTTAGATCTTAAATTAATGTCTGCAGGCTTTTAAGCTTATCTTTACTGGCAGAGAAATATAGAGATGGAGTAAAGTTTAAGAAGGAAAAGTGGATACTTAGGGTTAACTAAGATAATAAAGAAAAGATGGGGAGTTATCTTGTTTGAAACCAGATAGCACGTTTCCCAGTGATTTCAGCTAGATGGTACCCGAGCGTCGACTCTTTACCTTGGTGGGGTTTCAGAGAGGCCTTCTCCTGGCGTCCAGCAAGGCTGAGTCTTTTTATCTCCAGGGATTTATATCCGCTTCTCATCAACTTGGGACCACGAGGCTGACTGGCCCAGCTTCCATAATAAACTCCCCGAAAGATAGGATTAAGTTAAGTGGAATTTCAGCAAACGTGCTGAACTCCTGAGATGTTGAATAGGTCTTTGGCATGATGACCTGAATCAACACTCCAGACAGGTGTCATCTTTCAGAAAATGACCACCGTGGACTTCAGTTGTAAAGTCACACTCGTCTCTTTCTCAGCAGAACTCTCTGTTCTGAACTTTTGGAACTTCTGTTCTCTCTGGAACTAGGAAGTGTCGACTTTTAAAGAGTTCTGCTTCCGGTCCCTTTTGGGAAGTCCTGATTGGTTGAAAGAACCAACAGGGGTGTGGTTTTAGTGACGCCAGAGGGTCACTACAAGTCAGAAAAACAGCGGAGATGTTTAGGAACAGACAGAGAAATGTTTTGGAGAAATGACAGACTTACAGGTGCCAGTTTTCTTGTTTCTGTCTGAGAGGTTTAAAAACATGACAGTTTGTTCCAATAAACTTGTTTGCGACTATCTCCGACTTTTGACCGACATCACACCTTTCTCATTTCAGACAGAAGATCAAAAATGCATAATTACTTTGTAACATAGACATTTAACTTGATTTCTACTTTGAATGAGGATTAAAAACCATTAATACTGTTTCACAGTTGATTTATGAGTGGTTCACTTCAACATTTAAAAATGATTTGAACTAAACACACTTTTGATTATCAAGACATTGTAAAATAGTAATGATAATATAAAAAAGTGAGTGTTCTTTCAATTGATTAGTTTAGGATACAATTAGAAAGTCTCTGGATGAGCTAATTTGTATTTCTGGATTCAAATCAATGAAATAACTGTTCCTGTCCCATGAAGGTCTTCAGAGGCAGGTCTTGACCGGAGGCTTAGTTCACTACAGTGGTAACAAACCAGTAGTCCCCTAATAAAGCTTGGCAGTGTGTTCCACAGTAAGTACTGGTCAACTACCCATTAGCTCCTGATTTGTTCCTCTTCATTTACAAGGTAACAAACCAGTAGTCCCCTAATAAAGTTTGGCTGTGTGTTCCCCAGTAAGTATTGGTTAACTACCCATTAGCTCCTGATTCGTTCCCGAGACGTTCCCTAGTAGTTACGCAAATTTTGTGTACCTTATTGTAAAGTGTTACCCTATATTTTTCTAACAGAGCATTTCGCTCTCAGACTGCAGGTTTACTTGTGGTTCCTAGAGTTTTCAAAAGCAGCATGGGAGGAAGATCTTTCAGTTATCAGGCTCCTCTCTTGTGGAACCAACTTCCAGTTTCTGTCCGTAAGGATGACACATTGTCCAGTTTTAAGACTGGGGTGAACACTTTCCTTTTTGACAAATCCTAGGGTTTGCTTGGGTTTTCGGAGTTATGCATTAGTTATGCTGCTATAGGCTGGAGGATAAATTTACCACATTTCTTCTCTCTGCTGCTGTCTTTACTCGCTCTACTCTCCGTTTGTTATTTGTATTTCTATCGTGTTTTTGCAGTTCTTCCAGCAGGAGGTTCTCCTGCACCTACACCTGCCATTCTGTGTTCGTTTGTTTCTCCTTCCTGTTTTCTCAAGCCAGCCCCAGCTGGTCGAAGCAGATGGCCACTCATTCAGAGTCTGGTTCTGCTGGAGGTTTCTTCCTAAAGGGAGTTTTTCCTTTCCACGGTTGCCTTTGTGCTTGCTCAGGATGGGAGACCGCAACGAAGTGAAGATTCAACACAATCTCTAGGTGGAGCTTGCATGTCCTCTGTGCATGTGTGGGTTTTCTCCAGGTACTCCAGTTTCCTCCCACAGACCAAAAACATGCATGTTAGGCTGATTGGTGATTCTAAATTGTCCCTAGGTGTGAGTGAGAGAGTGATCAGTTGTCTTGTTTGTCTCTGTGTCCCTGTGATGGACTTGGACCTGTCCAGGGTGTCCCCCGCCTCTCGCACAGTGATTGCTGCATATGGGCACCAGTGACCCCCCATGACCCGAAAAGGAAGAAGCGGGTAAAGATAATGGATGAATGGAGACATTCTTTCGACTGCTTGTCACAGGACTCATCAGTTCAGTTGGTCCAACATTAAGGATCAGGACAGATCGTGCTCAGACTAGTTTTGAAATTGGTCTGTGGAATTATTTTTGTAAATCTGAATAGAATTTCTGAATGCAGTGTAATCGTTCATGATGGAGTTCAGTGACAAGTTTGAACAGCCTTCAAGAGACTGAACGAAAGTTCATGTAGTTTATATTTCAGGCATGTTTTGTGAGATTTTAGAGCCCAACAATCAGGTCTGACTCAATAATCAGATGAATCTATAATATTGAAACAAAAGATGGCCAACAGATTGCATCACTTCCTTACTTTGACCCCATTTCAGGGCTTTTTTCTAAAAGTATATTTTGGGAATACTTTCTTCCTATTTTTTAATTGTCCATCTTTGTTTTCCAGGTAATTTATGCAGCTACAAACGCTTGGATAAAACAGTCTGTCCTAACCCAACAGTGTTCAGTCAGGTCATCTGGACCTTTTCTTTTTTTAGCCGAGACGTTTCATCCTGCATCCAAAGGCCTTCTTCAATCCGAGGAGCCACCAACAAACACAACTGATTCCCACGACCTGACTGAACATTGTTGGATTTTATACCTGGATTATTGAGCATGAACTTTGGAGTCCGTTCTAACGCGAGCGTGTAACAGTGAGACAAAAACTCTGGTATATGAGATTAATGCAGCCTGCAGAAGAAAATAAAAATGTCCGACTGAAAAGACAGATTGCTCTTTTGTTTAGCACACCTGCCTTTCATTTAGACAGCTGTGCTCCATCCAAAGACAAACATGCTCAAACTTCAACCATGATGAAGAATTAGAAATATTTTATTGTGCATGGATCCTTTGTAGATATCATGGCTATACAGATACACTTTAGATACATATCTATGATTATACAGATTTCCCATAACGAACATTGTAAAGTGATATGTCTGGTAGTATGTATAGTATAACAAATTTCTCTTTTTGGAATGTACGGTGTATGAGGTAACTGCAAACATTAAAATTACATAAAAATGGTCTATTTTTGTGCATATTTTTACTCTTTTTTTTGTAGCATTTTGTTAATCTCTCCAGCCGGTGGATGAAGAGGTGTTAAAATGGCACACTTTGCAGTCACTATCAAAAATAGGAATTTGACTTCTGTAAATGACGAAGACATTTGCAGAATGTCTTGAGGACCAAATTATGCAATTGTGTTTAGGATGTTTTGCGAGGTTGGGTTTCATTCTTACAGCCTGCAGCACGGGAAGCAAACAGATTACGGCTGAGCAGTCAGTTCAAGCAGCCCGTTACAAATAACATACAGAGAAAAGGCAAATTTAGATTTGCATGAAAACACATTTTGTATCTGCCATTTGTGTCCCATGATACGTGACTACTCAGGATTTATCTTCGTGGACAGTATTACCTTATATTACTTCAATATTATAAAAAAATATACTTCACGAATGGATGACCTGACAAAAGAAACTACAACAAAAAAAAAAAGTCTTAATATAAAGAACTACATTTCATTTTTCTCATGATTACATACGTTAACTAACACCAACTGAATGCTGCAAAGTAAAAGGAAATAAAATACATTTTAGTGTTTTCTAACACTAAAAAGGAAAACATCAAAACTTAAGAGAAAATAGAAATAAATTAAAAAAAATCACCAGATATTTTTTTCTCTCTCCAATTAAGGCCTCTGAAACAACTGGTAGATTTTTTTTTTTGTTTGTTTGTTTATTTTTTCCTCTTTTTTTTTTTTTTTTCTTCTTGCTGATAATTAGCTGTTTCAGTGACACATGAAGTGATACTACAACTTTTAAAACACCCAAAACACAAAAAATCTCAACGCGTGTTCTATAAAATGCATCACAAGACCAAAAATGCAGTCAGTCAAGATTTTCTTCCACTAAGGTGCAAAAAATTAATTACCAAGGGAAAACAGAACAAAACGAAACGTACAAGAAAAGCATACATTTTTGTGCTGAACAACAATATTTCAGAGTAAAGCAGCTGCATGATTGTAAAAACAAGCTACAGTATAACTATATGATAGTAAAAATAATTAGAATTCACCGTTTGTTTGTTTTTTGTCTTCTCACTTTATAGTTTTAGCTTTTTTTTTTTTTCTTCTTTGCAAACCTACAGATCCTTGTGTCCTTACTGTACAAAAATATACGAACATTTCTCCAGTCATTTTTGCATCCTTAAACATTCTGAACATCAAAAAGGTTGGAAAGTGCTAAATGAACGTTCTATAACAGGTTTTTCTTGTTTTATCTTGTCTGGACTCGTTAACTCCTGCAGTAGGGTTAGGGTTGGTTAAGTCCCTTCATGTGGCCCTGAAGCCCTCCCAGCCGTCTACACTGTGGTACAAACTACACAGAGTACACACACATCTGAACACACACCTCAATGTGCAAACACTGGCCCATCAGGTCCCACAGTCCAATAGCACATTGGCTAATGACAAACCTACAAACTAGTTTTTGGAACACGTTTATCAAAAACTGTTTCATACTGGACATGGAAATATAAATATTGACTTTTTTTTTTTATTTCTAACTCGTGCGTCACTTCCCTCCCCTCGACTCTGCCCCTGAAATGACCCAAGCTCGTTGCTTTCTGAGTTCATTTTCACCCGGAAGGCTAATCGATGAGTCAGAAAACTGAACGGAGAGATGGATATCAAACTTAGGGCAGGGTGACAAAGGCAAGAGGAGTCCGGAAGGTGTCACAGGTGCCGAATGAGATGTCACATCCTTAATTGATAACTTCTGGTTAGCTAATACCTGCTAGCGCATCCTCTCGCTGCACCCCATTTCAGCTAATGTGATTTCTCTGTTGAAACCGGAAAACAGTTAAAGTACAAAACAAAGAATACAAAACAACAGAGAGATGGGTGGGGGTGGGGGGGTGGAGAATAAAGCTATAACCCTGCAGCTGGGCGGCACAGACCCCTCATTTTATGACAAAGTACTGGATGACGAAAGCGATGAGGATGGCGATGACGGCGAAAACCATGAGGAGGAGGAACGCGCACTGCTCGTCGGTCAGGCTCTGCCTGGTTCGATTGGACTCGGTGCTGGTCCTGGATCCCGAAACGGCCGCGCTGCCGCCCAACACAGTGTCGTTTCGTTGAGGGGAGAGGGTCACCGTGGGGCTGTAGGGACCGCTCAGATCTGTGCCGTCCTGGCACTGCCTGACAGCACAGACTCTGAAACGGTAGTCACTGTTGGGCTGGAGGTTCGGGACGTGGAAGGACGTGGCAGAACCTTTGTACGTCTATCAACGGGGGAAAAAAGAGACGTAAACGATTAAAAACTGATGGAGACAAAACTACAGAGACAGAAGGGGTTTTTTTTTCTTCTTGTGACTGCATCACAGTGAAGATGGGCTAGTGGGCAGAAAATACTTGGAAGGGAATATGTGTTGGTACAAGAAAATATATAAATCTCAACAGTAATCACATAAATCACAATTGACCTTTTGACTCTTTTAAAACTATATTCTTGTTTTTGCTATTTGAAGCAGGGGGGGGGAGGAGTCCTGCATTAAACAGAATCTGCACTAGAGAGATTACAATATGCTACAGTATCACTCTGGAGAGGACCCCCAGAGCACAGGACTAAGGTGTTGATGCTTACAAAAGAAGAATGAAAGAAAGAAAGAAACGAAAGAAAGAACAAAAGAGAAAAAAGAAAGAATGGAAGAAAGAGAAAGAAAGACCAAAAGAAAAAGAACGAAAGAGAGAAAGCACGAAAGAAAAAAAGAAAGAACGGGAGAAAGAGAATAAAAGACCAAAAGAAAAAGAATGAAAGAAAGAGAAAAAGCACGAAAGAGAAAAATAAAGAACGGAAGAAAAAGAAAGAAAGAATGAAAGAAAGAACGAAAAAGAACAAAAGAAAAAAGAAAGAAAGAAAGATACATTTTTAGTAGATCAATTTCTGACATTGAAACAAATATTAATATTGTGACTCTACACAATTTAAAAGAACATTTACAATACACAAATACTGCCACTACTTTTACTTAAACAGACTACTTTATGATTTTTATGTGTATTTGCATCAAATTGTTGGCTTATAATAGTTCCAAGGAAGCAACCTGCCTAAACTGTCTGCCAGCACAAGTCTACATATTTTCTGTGAATCTGACTGGCACAATTGCAACAGTGACAACGTGATTCTCTTAACTGGGAAAACCATAATCAAAACCGTTAAAATCCATGTAATATCCTAGTAACCCAATATTTTTTGGTTCCAAAATAGTGTATAGTTTTCAGGATGAAACAAATAGATTGCAAACTAACAGAAATGGCAGGCAGTTTAAAACTAGTAGAAAAATAATTTATCAGTCATTTAAACAAAATCTATGGCTCGGCTTTTTTTTCCTAATCTGTAAACAAGCAGTCCACCAGTAAAAACAGGCTTTCAATCCGGTCTGCAGGGGTAGAAACAAACAACAAGGACAGCCACATATTTCAATCTGCAGATTCAATCGCCACATGCGACGTGGTGAGATTAGCATCAGCCGGCAGTGGCCATTATTCCATGTTAACAGGGCTTCAGGCCATGAATGTGCTGGCGGGGGCAAGACACCTGAGATACCTCATGGATCAATGACCTTTGCATAATGGGCAATTTAAAGCCAGCAGTGACAATATCAAATGCTGTGAGGCCACAATGACAACATTAAAACCCTGAACTCATCCATTTCCTGACCTGCAAAAGTGATGAACAGGTCAGCCAAAGGTAAAGGGGGAGGGATGAAGAGAGGAGGTAAACTCCCACACAGCAACATGAGTACCTGTTTAAACTCAGAATTCCCCATCATGCACTGCAAGCTGTAGATAACTGGGTCCCCCTTCATGTGCGGTAAGGCCTCCCATGTGACTTCACAGGAGTTGTCGTCCAGACGCTCGACTTTAGGAACTGAAGGGTGAAAAACAGAGATGAGCCGTTGCTATATAAGAAAAACTATCTGATAATGAGCAAACCAGCTGGATTGAAGAGAAGTCTGGTTTTAATAAAGATGAGTTGTTTTGGGGGTTTTTCGTCCAAAAGGAAAAGTATCGAAAAAGCACATCAAGTTAAAACTTGTGTTTCCCCTTAAAATAGCCGTTTACCTGCTGTACAGTGCAACTCTTAATCCACACCTTCGTTATCGTTGGTCATATTTTCCCAATGACTTCTTTCATTCTTTGGTATTTCTGCAGTTTTTAAGTTTTATTGTAACGTCAAAGTGTTCTGATAATTAAAATACAGTACAATTTACTGTATTTGTCGCCACACACGGCGCTCCACCTATAAGTCGCATCAGTCTAAATATGTCCAAAAGTGGAAAAATCCATAAGTCAATTTGCCGTATACGTCGCGTCTATTAAGCGTCACCGCTGACGTGTCGTGTTTGTTACACGTCATCGCTGACCACCCAGAAACGTGGGCCAAACCTGGAAATGTGGGCTGGTGTTGTGCCAAAAATCGATTGGCTGCCAAATGGTGGCCGTGGGGGGTGTGAACGGGAGGACTTTAACAAAAGTTTAACAAGACTGACACTTAAAAACAATTTTGTTAATTTTAGTCTAAATTTTCCTTAATAAATGCACTTTGATGGTCAAATCAGCTGCATTTTCAAAAGTTGATACGTGGAAACATGAACGCGCAGAGGGACGAGCCGCTATGCATGTCCTCAAAATTTAACAAGATAAGCACCTAAAACAATTATTTGTTTGCACGACATTATAGTAAAGGTGTGTCTCAGTTTAACCTTTACTTAAGAAATTCACTTCAATAGTCAAATCAGCTTCATTTTGTCGGGGCGGCGCAGCGAAATGAAGCCGATTTGATGGTTGCTCCAGGCAGATGATGGTGCCAGTCTGTGGCAAGCCGATTGTGTCATTAATAGCCACTTTTACCTATTAAATGCTACAACAGCATGCCATACTACTCGAGTGCCATCTAGTGGCTGAAAATGGTAGTGTTCAATATTTTCAGTCAGAATGAATGAATTGGTTTATAAATATGGGGAAAAAAATCCATAAATACATCACTTCGGCATATAAGTCATAGGGCATGCAAATTTTGCAAAAAACCTGCAACTTATAGGGCAAAAAATACAGTAGTCATTTATAGCATTTGGACTTTAAACTGCACCCGTCAGTCTAAATCTACACTTTTTATATCAGAGGGTGCACTTCACTCGATGTTGAGTAACACCAACAACCTGGCACATGACTCCCAGATTCAAAAGAGCTGCTCCTCTGACCATAAAGCCCACATCCTCATTATTGACTTTACTGTGTGGGATCAAAAGAGGCTTTGCAGAGGTTGGCGGCAAACAGACCACAGGGCCGAACAGCCAAGTCCTTGTGACAGCTGACAAGTGAATCTGTGGCTGCAAGTCCAGCTTTGCACAAACAAGGTTAAAAGCTGAGCGGACTGGCTGTCAGTAGATGATTGTGAGTTCATTAAGAACTGCTGGACATAAAAATAAATAAGAACTAAAAAATAAAAACATAAAATACAGTAAGAACAAAGGAAAAGTGGCACGGTACCTTTTAGAGGAGGTGGAGGAGAGCGTGGGGTGGTGAATGTGTAAACACAGGAGAAGGGCCCTTTGCCCGCCTCATTAAAGGCTTGGATGCGGAACGTGTAAGAGGTAGACTCATTAAGCCTCTGGACTTTGTGTGTGTGGCACGGTCCTTTATACAAGGATATAAATCTGCAATGACACAAAAATAACAAAAGCGAGAAAAAGGATTTAATGATAAGAGTTAAATAAGGAAGGAGGAAAAAAGCAAATAAACTAGAGAAATTGCATGTCCTGCAAAAATGCAGTGTTTGAGCTGAAAAGGCCAGTTAAAAGATAAAAGTGGCAAAATGCTGTCGGAAAGTATCAAAAGACTAGCTGAATGCTAAAAGCAGCAAATGACTATCTAGCTAAGTGCAGCAAAAATATAAGTAAAATCTAAAAGTAGCTGAATGGTAGCTTAGGGCCTAAAGTAGAATAAAAAAAAAAATAGTGCAAGTACTGTATGTTAAAGCACAATTCATAGAAAATAGTTTTGAATGAGTTGACAATATCACACTGTATTTCTATTGGGAAGTAGGGGGGAAAAGTTAAATATTTAAAGTAGTAGTATTATGGTAGTAGCAATCTCCTGAATGAGTTGGACATTTTGAAATATGAATAACTGGAATAGCACAGTATTCAGAAGTAGTTATTCGAGTTGCGACTTAACATACAAAAAACAATCGCGTGAATGATTGTTAATGCTTTACTGCCCTCTTTTCTTGTGGTGTGTCACAGGGCTCTATACTCGGTCCTCTCTTTTATTCTCTTTAATTGCTCCCACTTGTATCAGTAATAACTAGTCACCACTTTTCTTTTCACTGCTTTTTGGACAACCTACAAATTTACTAGTCCATGAAGCCTAAAAGTAATAATGTTCATGTTTCTTTTATTGATTGTATTGCCGATATTAAACAATGGGCTTCACCAAAGACATTCAGTTTTTAAATGAAAGACAGATTGACTGATTTTTTTTGGTGATGATACTCCTTGTAACTTTGTGATGTGAGAGCATCACGCCCATTTTCTTTTCTTTTCATTGGCTTCCAGTCCCTTTTAGAATTAATTTTAATAATAATAAAGTGCTATGCGTTGTCATCATTGTATGTTCCCATACAATGGCAAAATTGGTTCTCTGCATTTAACCCATCACACCTGAGATACGGAAACGGTTACTATTAAACTATTATTATTCACTTTTAAAGTTCTTAATGATTTCACCCCACCTTAAATAGCTGATCTGGTAGCTTTACGTGAATATAAGAGAACCTTAAGATCAACTAATACTTGTTCCTGCTGCTGCTGTTCAGAGTATTATTTTTGTTCTACTAGTGCTTAGCGTATTCTTAGTTTAGCGTATTTCTTAGTTCATTTCTTATTTTATTACTGTTTTTCTTTACAATTTATACTTTTGTTGGATGTAACTGGGACCCTGTGTACACAATTTCGCTCCACCACATGTGGTGCAGGGCTGCAACAATGAATCGATAAAATTGATAAAAATCGATGATTAAAAGCGTTTGCAACGGATTTCATTATCGATTCGTTGTCGCGCGATTATGTGTCTTTCACGGCGCTGCAGAGCTGTTTTGTTCACCTGCAGTTCATTGTCAATGCTGACTGACTGAATAGAGTTTGAAAAAACAAAAACTTTGCAGCGCGACTTGAACAGAGCGAGGGGGAGGTGGAAACAAAGCAGAGGCTGTTTTCAAAGGAAAATAAGTAAATTTTACAAATGACCAACGCAGCGAAAACTGTTCGACCCAAGTCCTCCAAAGTGTGGGAGAACTTCAAAGATAAAAACTGAGAAGAATGCAGCTTTGAAAATTGCCGACACGACACGGGAGAACCATGGAGATGAAACGTAAACATGTCGGAGTCACGAGGAGGAGGAAGGAGCTGCAGCTGATACAACATGTCTCACTCCCAACTCATGTGTTGCAGGTGAGTTTCTAAAATTTAACACATTGTTCTGTTTCCAAGAGAGAAAACGTAACGTCAGTCTGTCTGGTAGATGAAGCTGTTTGTTTGTTTGTTTTCTGATTAATGACGGTGATAGAGAACGTGTGTGTTACTTTTTATTTAATTTAATTGGTACACGCAGTGTTTAAATGTGATTTATAAATAAATCTAACACAAAATGTAATGATTAAGCTTCAACTTTTAATTTGCTGGCAAAGTCTGAAGACACTGCAGGTATGGCAGGATGAATTGCATTTAAACAGGAATTAAAGTAATTTATTACATCTACTCAAATGTGTGTAATTAAGTATTTTATGTGTGTGTGTGTGTTTAATTGCTCTTTTAGCTACTTTTGCCTGAACCTAACACTGTAAGTGAAACAAGGCATTTCTTGAGTTGCTGTAAATTATAATACATATTTACTCTCTCGTTCCAGAAAACAACAACAACAAACAACAACAGCCTTCACGATGGACAGACATCATGGACACCACAGCAGCAGCTGTCTTCACTGAAAACATCCTTAAATGATCGTCACTCACATGAGGCCTCTGTCGATGGTTGAAGACGAAGGCTTCACTACAATGATCCACACTTTTAATCCAGGTTACAATAATCCACACTTTTAATCCAGGTTACACTATTCCCTCAAGCACATTTTACAAAGTAGCTACATATTGTGCAGGTATAAAGACACATTTGTATATATTTTTGTGTACATTTATTTTTTTAAGCTATTTGACTAACTTTTATTTTTTATTATTCAATATTTTACTAACAGAATAGTAAAATAGCAACCTGTTTTTTGTGCGAATTGCTATGTCAGTCAAATGTTCAATTTTGGAATAAAGGGGTGGAAATTAAAACTTTTTTTTTTTTTTTGCCGATTCATCGATTAATTGAAAAAATAATCGGCTGATGAATCGATTATTGAAATAATCGTTAGTTGCAGCCCTAATGTGGTGCGAATGAAAAATAAAGAAACTTTGACTTTGATACTTCTTTACTGTTTGTTTCAAAGTCCAAATACAAACGTTGGGGTGACCGGGCCATTTTGGTCGCTGCACCCTGACTCTGGAAACTACTTTAGAACTTGCACTACATCACTGATCTGTTTTTTTAATTTTTCAATCTAATCATAAAACCTTTTTTATTCAGGCAAGCTTTTAGTACTTAGTGGCACTCTGACAGTTTTGTATTGTTTTGTTTACTTTTGTATTGTGCAGTACTCTGTGCACCTTTTTAGTTGTTGGGATAGGGCCCTATAAATGAACATTGATTGACTGACTGTTGATTGACTGGTGAGTGACTCTGCTGTGAGAAAATAACAGTAGAAACATCACTCCTAGCCTCCCACTTCAGAAGGTACACAAGCCCCAGCCTGCAGGAACCAGCTGGAGTTTGTGTAACCTCTTATCTGCTCATCTCTCTTAGATCACTGCTGTGCACCTGAATTCTGGACTACTGACCTGCCGTTCTTGTCCCCCATCTGCAGATGATACTGGAGGGCATCTGAGGTGGCGGCTTTGGCTGGACCGTCACCCCATTTGAGCCTGAGAGTCTGGTGGCTGAAGGCGGTGCACTCTAGGCGGGGAGGCTGCGGAGGCAGGGGCTTCGTCTTTAGCTTAAAGGTGTGACTGAAAGGTCCCGTTCCCAGACTATTCTGGGCTTGGATTCGGATCCTGAGAGAGAAGTAGTGGAAAAGTGACATCAGAGAACTGCAACAGTTTTCTCAAGATGCTGAAACATTGCAGGGACGTTGAAAGTGTTATTCCAGGTTTTAACAGATTTCATGTATATCCGCAAGACACAATTTTACCTCAGCTTGGCTTCAATAAATATGTAGTATGTGTGATTACTAACCCCTAAAAAAATCCTTGGTGACTTACGATAAACCTGTAGAACCTAAAAGGTTTTTACATCAACATTATTATGTAACATCCTGATCCATGCTCAGTAATCCAGGTAGAAAAAGCTAACAAGTCAAGTCAGGTCCTCTGGACGCACTCATAAAAATAAAAAACATGTTGAAACTGAAGTCTTTTGGATTAAAGATGCAACGTTTCAAGGGATGCACCGATCCACTTTTTTTAAATTCCGATCCGATCCCGATACCTAGAACTTAGTATCGGCCGATACCGATCCCGTTCCGATATCATGATCGTCATTGATTTTATATGAGGCTGTAATAATCTCCTCTCAAGTACAATGTGTATATGCATGCACGTCCAAAAAGGCAACTTGAGGTAAGTTTTATTAATGTTGGATAAGTTTTAAAGTTAGAATTAAATTCTGCTAACACAAAACATGTTTCTTTTTATTCTTAGCTTTAAAGTGGATATTAAAGTGATTAATTTAAGTGATTGTTTAAAGTTGTTTTATATTTTATAAGGGGCAGATATAATATTTTTTTCTTCTTTCTGCACTCTTTTCATTCAATGTTTTCTTTTTGATGATTTTTTTTTTATTTTGTTTCATTTAAATAAATGAATAAATGAATTAAATTAAATGTTAAATGGCTTCAAACATCTGCTAAGTTCATGGCACAAACCAACAGACGTTCCCGTTTTCAGTATTTTACATCACTTTATAATGTAGCTGTTTATGTTTTTAATATATATAATTTTCAAATCATATGTTTTTTATTGTTTACTGTTGTACTGATAAATGTCTCCTGGAGGGTAAACTATATCTTGACAGCAAGTATCAAACTGAGGAATCCTTCGTTTTCTACAACTGATAGTGGTTGGTCATTAATTATGATGAAGTTTAGCAACTTCTCTGTAAACATTTGAGCTCCGTGGTTTCAGCGATGTCTTCTTCTTGTTCAGTCCGAAGCAGGCAGCCTGATTTGGGGCAGCTGCGCTCAGTCTGTCCCTCCTCAGAGACGGGCAGACTGAACGGGGCAGATTGGACGCGGCTGGCCGAGGTCGAGTCGCCTCTTTCGGTTTGACCAAAGAGCAGTGCCCCGCTGAAGCCACGGAGCTCGAATGTCCATCGTAAAACTAACTTGAACGTGGTTTAATGTGGCGCTATGGATCTGCAGACATTGCAAGTTGCTGCGTTGCTTTGTGGCGTTTAGTGTAAAATACTTCCACACAGCGGACATGTTTAGATGAAAGGTTTGTTAGCTGTTAGCCACAGTGCTGCTAACTCAGTCCTCACGTTGTAGCTGGCTGCAAACTATGAAATGGATTTCCTGAATGTGAGGCGGGTCTTATTACTCTGGGTTCATGAGACACGCCGCCGTTCAGGAAATCATAGTTTGAAGCCAACATGCGTCATGGATCGGAAATATCGGCAGGTGGATCGGAAAATCCGATACGTAAATTATGCTGGTATCGGAGGCCGATACAGATACTGGATCGGATCTGCCCCATCCCTAGTTTCAAGTTTTTTTTTTTTTTTTTATCCGTCCAGAGGACCTGACTTAACTTTGATAATTATGTAATGTTACTTAATCAAATGGATAGCTTTGAGTTTTATATAAAAACAAACAAGTTTATGAACCTGCACAGCCAAAAAAACCCAACCATACGATCAGGATAAAAAAACTTTTCCAGTGCATTTGGACTGTATGTGTAACAGGCCAATTCAATTATTTGTCTATTTTGATTTTCATTGTCTCCTTTGGACAAAGCAAAGTTTTACTGCACCGTGTGATGAGAACAGCACTCAGAGTCTCATTCTCGGAGATCACTTAATGATAGAAGCAGGAAGAAAGCCTTGAATTGAGAGAGATCCCTCCTACTACTTCTCCTCGCTGTAAGAAAATGTTGGTTCACTGAATCAAGAGCATAACAGCTCTACACTGGTGAAGATTCTCAGTCATCCAGGACATGGTAAATCCAAAAAAAGTTAAAAACAAAACAACTGAAACAAATAAACAAAGTCCAGCTGTTTTGTTTTTAACTGTTTTTTAACATAACAGCTCATTTCCACAGGCAATAAACCTGCTAAGCTCCCAGTAATAGTCTAATTAAATTATATCACTTCTGTTATTTGTAATGAAGAGATGGAGTACGTCCAGACATCTGCAGAGTTAAAAGCTGTGCAGTTCACTCCAACAGTTTGGGATTACAGTGATGCTCCGACCTGTAGCTGGTGTCTGGCTGCAGATGCTGGATGATGTGTTTAGTGATGGGGCCGACGACAACGGGCTGTTTCTCTCCGAGGTCAATCAGGTAAGAGGTGATCTCAGATCCATGATCACATGGAGCGTCCCAGTAAATGCCCAGGCAGGTGGACGGAGAGAAGACCGATGGGGGGCGGTAGTCATCATCCTCCTCTTCCTCGTCGTCATCTGTTGGAGTCTCATACTTCATTAGCTCAGACTCTTTCAGCGCGTAGATGTTACTGACAGCTGCAGGAACAGAGCAGGGCGTCTGGCACAGCACAGCCTCACTGAAGGGCCCCACACCAGCCACGTTCACAGCCTGCACGACAAGAGACAGGCGTGATAGCAACATGTTGACGTCACGACACACATGCAACATTCATATTTGACCACAAGGGGGAGGTGCGATGTAAACATTTCAACAAACGTGATTTATGGGTTTTACTAACGGTTTTCATAAGAAAGCACATTTATTTGACCAACAAAACAAAACAAAAATCTACTTTTTATTGCTTCACAAGCTTATAAAGTCAAAAATAGTACTAATTTTTATAAAAATGTTATATTAGCATATCGGAAATTAAGTTTAGTTGATCTAAACATCAATTTATGAAAAAAACAACAACAAGGAAATACTAAGATTATAGAAATAACTCATCTATATATATTTTTGTAATTATAATCCAAAATATTAATGAAAACAGCAGTAACTTGTTAAAATTATGCTAGAAATGATGACTAATGAAGATAGAAACAAGGGTTTTTGACATTTTTTTTTGCAAAGTATGAGAGAATTTTAACACATCAGCTGCAATGAAGCTCAACTAATGACTCAAAATATGAGACAAAGACGTTCCAAATATTTTCTACTCAGTGGGCCTTGTACTTATACATCAATATTCATTAAACTTAGTTTTTATTATTTAACTTATATTGCAGATTAAAACAATGGTATGTGACAAAGTCTTCACAACTTTAGTCATACCAAAAAAAATAAGATGAGATTTTTATCTTTATCCGTTGTATTTCTTTTTTCCTTAGTTATATTTTCTAAGTGTTTCCTTTTATCTAAGTAATAAAGTGTTGATTTATGCTCACCTGCACCCGACAGAAGTAGATGGTTGCAGGCAGCAGCCCCTTCATTTCGTGGCTGAGACTCGGCCCGCTGTAACACACCTGCATGCTGCCGTCAGCTGCCCCCCATTCTAGACGGAACTCCGTCACCGGAGCTCCATTACAAGGAGGCGCCTAAAAGGGAACAACAAAACGAGCAAATTATACACCAAATTACGCAGCTCAATCTGTAATAGCATGCTATGACTTTTGGTAGTAGTCCACTGCACAACGTAGACACAATTCACAGAAAATGAAAAACAAAACAGCTGAGGTCAATGGGATTTTGACGAAACGTGTGGGAACTCATTTGTCTTTTCAAATGTGTGAACTGACATTTAGTTATCCTTTTTGGTTGTTACACAAACTCAGTTCACATTTTATGATAGTTGCAGGGTTTTTAAAAAAAATAAATGTTCAATACACTCAATTTTGAGTTGCCTACAAATTCCCATTTTTTTGCAGACGAAACCATAGACAAATACTGTAGTCCCTCGATACTTCGCAGTTCGTTTTTTGTGGACTCGTTCTATCGCGGTTTTTCAAAGTAAGATAGGACATGACACACAATTGGCTGATTGATGGATGAGCCGCACGATCGGAATGGATTTTTTATTTAAAATGAATTATTTTAAATTATTTAGCACCTGCTGCCCCTGTGTGCAGCCCACACTGCAGGAGAAGCTTCCAGCTGCAGCTGATCAGCTGATCTTCGCTCTGCTGCGGGAAAGTGGGCGTGGCTGAGAGCGCTGGCAAGTGGCAGAGAGCAGCCGAGGCATGCTTAAACAGATTCAGTTATTCTGTATTTAACCTCAAAATATTCTTCAGTTTTGGACAGAAAACTCTTTAAAATGTTTCTTACATAGAAACTACTGTACAAACATCAAAATGTGTGGAACCATCAGTCTTCTGCTCCTTGTGGTTTAGGAATTTGTTTCATGCATTGACTAGTTTACGTTTCAGTCTTTGTCTGCCTCTCATTAACCTGGCAGTCAGGGAGTGACAGACGGGTATGTGCGTGGTTACTATGGTTACCACCATGAGCTACCGGCAGCAGTTTTAACATTTCTTTGTATATTGGTTCTTTTGAAATTAAATAAAAAATATCAAAATGTAGTCTTTTTTTTGTAGTTTAGATTATTACAAAGTTATTGGAATATTGGGCAGTAGCTGAATTCAAAAAGTCTTGAGAACTTCTATTTTATTTCATCAGAAGTAGGGTTGGACAATAACTATCGATATGTCACGATACACTTTTATTCAATAAGGGTGATACGAGTTTTAAGCAAATTTTCAATATTTCGAGGCTAAATACAAATAAAAGGTGAACATTAATTTATTTGTACAGTTTGTACAGTTTTTCTGAGGCTTTTATATTGTTTATATCGATATCGAATTATATCGTTAGACAGAAATTAAGAAATATATCGTGATAAAAGTTTTGTCCACATCGTCCAGGCCTAATCAGAAGGACGTGTTATATTCCTGTATCTGAATGTTAGTAAGAGAAAAGAAAATGAAGTCTTACCTCCCAGCTCACAACTACACAACTTGGAGATTTGCATGTAGTGGCAGGGGCTCTGCACTGCTCAGGGGCTCCAGGACCGGTTGTAACTTCACAGCGCTCCGAAAGAGACCCAAACTATTTGTGTAAAAGTATACAAGTATTCAATGCTGATCGTTTTCAGGTAGATTACTAAAATAGTACTGAAAAGTACAATTCTGATACTTGTTTTTGTTGAATGCATGTTGGCAGTCTTTCTCACCCCAGCCTTATTAGCTGCTTTGAGCCGGAAGCTGTAGGTTCTTCCAGGCATTAACCCGCCCACAGAGCAGTCCAGTTCTGGGCCCTGATACACCTCCCTGCTCTCCTCAGACTGGGGTCCACTCACTTCTACACTGTAGCAGGTTACTGGGCTTCCTCCATCTCCCTGAGGGGGGCCTGAGAGGTGAAGATGAATCACGTCAAAATGTATTACTAACAAATAATAGGGTACAAAATAAAGAAAATGTGCAGCTCGTCGCTTTAAAGTTGCTTCAGTAGACAAATAGATGCATCAACTGAAGCTAGAAATGCATCCCCCACACAGAGCTAAGTTTGTGAAGAATGACTCACCCCAGCGCAGTTGCACCTCCCTGGCTTTGGGCTTGCCCACCAGCCGAGGGGGTTGGCAGGGCCCTGGGGGAACGGCAGGAATCTGAACCTGCAGAGTCTCCGACAGCTTGGAAGAGAAGACAACACCAATTAAGACCCAGAAAATAAATAACACCGACGATCTCTCACTCGTCTTTACAGGAGACACAGGATGGCAATTTTCATTTTCACTGGCTTATCACGCCGATTCAGACTCCAGCAGACCAGTGAAAAGACTGGCACTGTTTAGAGGTGCACATTTTTCACGGATAAAATTAGACCGATTATCACGCAAGCAATAAAATAAACTTCTGTGACAAAGCAATGCGTGAGTGCTGTGTCACATTGAGCTGCACGGAAAAGCTAAAACTCGCCACAATGACTCATGTATTTTTACCAGCCTCGTTGCAAATACATGCATGCGCCAAAAGCTGATAGGGAAATTAATGTGGAGTCTGCACTGAACTAATTACGAAAAACATCCTCTGACTAATTCAGGGAGGGTTAATTGATTAGTCGGCTTGTCTCTTGCTTACAGACAACCAAGCATATTCAAATCTCCAACCTTAGGAGACTGACTAAATGCCAGTGGTATGAAAATTAAGACGGATGAGAATAAATATCTGGAGCAGCTTGTGCAAAAAGTAATCGCTTTATAATTTGCTGTCAGCCCTGACTGATAAAAGTTTAGGTGACAAGAAAGAAATGTAATCATCATAAAGAAAAGAAAAAACTCCAAGAAATATGCAAAATATGAAGAACTAAGATCATCTCAAGTTGTAAAACGATGGAGCTGTGGTCATTTTGGTCAAACCTTGAAAGTAACAATACTGTGATGTGTCACACTCAAGAGTATGTGTTGGGGATGACTCTCAGCCACCACCACAGCAGCTCAATATCTGTAAAGTTCATGGAGTTATAGCCATTTTTGAGTTTCCTACTCAGTTGGCTATGATGGCCATCATTATTAAATCACACCGACTCCACCCAGTGATTATTTTCTGGAAGTACACACCACGTCAAATCTTAGTACACCGTACGTACAATTGATTGAATTACAGCCATTGTCGAGTTCTCTTGGGTTGGTTAGCTTTGGCAGTCATTTTGAATTGGGCTAGCTCCAAAATGTAACACCTCCTATGATTACTGTATTTTTCGGAAAATAAGCCGCACCTTTTCGCATAAATTTGCACGTCCTGCGACTTATCCACCGAAGTGACTAATATACGTTTTCTCCCCATATTTATAACCAAACTTTTGACTAAGATCTGAGGATTTCATTCATTCTGACATGGAAAATATTGAACACTACCGTTTGCAGCTGCTAGAGGCGCGAATGAAAATAAATAAATAAATTGGTGTTTATGTTATTATAAACACCAATTTACTTATTTATTTATTGGTGTTTATGTTATTATGTCCTTGTGATGGACTTGCGACCTGTCCAGGGTGTACCCCGCCCCTCGCACAATGACTGCCGGACATGGGCACCGGCGACCCCCGTGACCCAAAATGGAAGAAGCGGGTAAAAGATAATGGATGGTTGGATTTTTGGCACAACACCGGCCAACGTTTCCGGGTGGTCAGCAGTGACGAATAATAGATGCAACTTATACGGCGAAGTAACTTATTTATGTTTTTTCCCACTTTATTAGACATTTTTGGACTGATGAAACGCTGGTGTGACTTGTACGGTGGAAAGTACAGTATTTCCTGAGTGTTTTGTTAAAAATTTGTCCAGTAGTTCCTGAAATATTCTGTTAAACGCATGAACAAACACAGGCAAAAACATAATTGTCCACCTTTAGCCTTTTCAACAACAGGCAATAATTATCCTGGCCTTTGTATTACAGGAGTTTTTTCTATCTTCTCCGTCTACAGTTTAAAGAACAGTTATCCAACTCTTTCAAAGACAGACAGCAGCAAACAGCCACATGCGCACACGTCCTGGTACCGAGTGACTCACCGGGCTCTGCCCCCCCTCACTTATGCAGTAAACTCGTGTTTGGTAAGAGCAGCCAGGCCTCAAACCATGACACACATGTTCCAGAGCTGGCCCCGAGTACGCCAGCTCCCACGACAAACCTAAGAACCAAAACATGACGGTTAATTAAAATCATCACAATAAACTAATAGATTAAATGTCCCAAAATGTACTATTCAGTAGTAGTATTTTGTGTAACGAACCACTTAGGCCTTCAGACAACTCCATAACATATTTTGTGACTTCAGCACCGCCATTTTCTTTAGGGGGCTCTAAAAAACAAACAAAAAAACACCAAAATGATTAAAGACAACAAACTGTTTTAGTGGATATCCACGTTTAATTTAGAATAAATTCAATAAAAGGAGTTTAGAAGCAGATTCTTCAGACAATGAACTAGCTAAACTCACATTTATTAGATTAACATCTTCCCTTTCAAAATTGAAAACGCTTTCCATAAATATTCTATCCACACAATCATTCCAATACTTGCAAAACATTTTGTTTACTCAGTTCCACTGTCAATACAATATGTGTTAATCAGATTTGCGAATCAATGAACTCTTTTCACAACGACACAACATTTTTAGAATTGTGGTTGTATTTAAACCTGCAGGTACACTTTTTAATTTAACAAATGAAAGTAGAGATCAAGCACTCCGAGCACTGGATGGATGATATTTTTGTCCAGTGAGGCGTTTGAGGGATTTCTGCTGATGTGTGACCAGAGGAGAAAACTATCAGTTTGATGTACAGACTACCTTGGAGGTCTATGAAGATGAATCAATAAGTATCCACACAAGCGTATGAGATATGCTTGTGTACAATAAGATCCACAAGCGTACCACAAATTTTACAAATGCGTACTATAAGAGTTACATTTTTCCGGTGTTTTTGTTCCTCTGCTGAAAATACATTTTCCCTGTATTTGAAGATAACTTGAAGAAAATACCAGAAATTTTTTTTTTAGGTGCATGTGCATGTGTGTTTTAATATATGGGGTTAGGAGCTATAGTTCCAAGTTAGAAATGTGTCTTTTAATAATAACTGTAAATCTGGTAAGGCTCAGATATTCCAGATTTTTTTTATGGGCCTTGAATGCAGCATTACCTTTATGAACCTGGAGCAGCGAGAAAGTCTCAAATGTTACATTCATAAGCAAACTGACTCGTGCGCTCGTGTTGACCGATTCGTCCACAGCAGGTGATTTGTGAATGTGTATGTATGCTTGTGTGACGACTTTTGAGAGTGAATTCTCTTCGTCAGTGTCATCCGTCTCATATACTGTTAGGCAGAGCTCCATAAGAGAAGGCAATTTGTAAAGCGGACTTGCCAGGCTGTCAACTAAAAGCAAGACTGAGAGGTTTTATGAAGGGAAACTTGAAGAGAAGCTCACCCCAGGCCATTTTAAAGCTGTCGGGCTGGACTCTTCCTCTGATGACAGGTCTGCAGGGACAGCTGGGTCTGTCTGGCTTTGTGATAAATTCCACAACCTGGCTGGGGTTACTCTTCCCTTCTGAGTTGTATGCTGCCACCTGGTTAAAGTGCACAAACACAGTTCTGTCAGAACACTGACGGCATTTTTCAATGCAAAAAGGCCTTTGTGTGTACTGAAAGCAAGTAAGTCATGCATGTAAACAAAACAGAACAAGATTCTGCATGTGACTTTTCAGCAAACACTACAAGCATTGCTGTTTTGCTACAAGTCAGAATAGATTAGTAGTATTAACATTTCAGAGAAAAAGAAAAACATTTGCAGTAAAATAGAAACCTCTGTCAGCCTGTTGAGTGAAGCTCATTAATATACCGAACCCAGACAAACTGGACTGCACCAAGCCTCTCCTCACACTGTGTGGAGGTTAAATTGAATGAGGGCTAAGTGTAGTCATTAATTTAGACATGTAGAACTACATTGGACTGATGTCACTTGTTTTAGCTTTATACTTTGGAACAATGAGACACATTTCTCTGGCTAGCTGAGTAAAGCCTACTATTTTGTTCAACTCTTTATACCAGGGGTGTTAAACTCACTTACAAAAGGAGGCCAAAATTAAAACCTTTTTCAAACTAAGGGCCAATTTCAGAAAATACATTAACTCCAATCAGATACCCTGCATCGTTTCTTGGTCACAGGTTCCTCAACAAGAGTTTGATTGGTCTCATTTGATGTTCACTGTTGTGCTTTCGACATCATAATCAAAGATTACTGAAAAAAATTCGAGACAGAGAAGTATTTTACGTTTCACAAATCATCTTGGGGGCCAGATAAGATGTCAACGAGGGCCACATTTGGACCCCGGGCCTTGAGTTTGAAACGTATGCTTTATACCTTCATAAAATTTCACAACCTGGAGCATCATGGCAGAAAAAGACATCAGTGTCACATGAAGTTGTTAAAAAATACATACAAATATCAGTACCTCTTTACAATAAGGCTCCCCTTATAGATGGCTAATAAATAGTTTATAGATACGTTATTAATTCCTTTATAAACACTTTATAAATCATTAGTAACTGCTTATTATGCATTAATTAAGGATGACAGAGACAAAACTGAGCAGTTTCTTGCCAAATAGTGAGCCAAATCTGTTCACCTTTATATTTCATCTAGACAACAAAGTTCATGCTCCGTCATCAAGGTACCAAATCTCATAATGCTCCGTCAGGTCATCTGGACAGTTTAGTTTTGGTAGAGACGTTTCGCCCTCTATCCGGAGGGCTTCATCAGTCTGAGGAGTTCCAAGTAAACTGTTTCCCCACCAATTATTGGATTTGGTACCTGGATGATTGAGCATGAACTTTGTTGCCTTGAACCACTTTGGCTGTGGCTGCCTGCCCAGGAGGAGTCGACGGGGGACAGGACAGCCCCCAGAAACCATCTTATCTCCAGCAAACTGGTTGGTCCACTTTGGGAGTTTACTGCTTGGTGGGGAAACAGTTTACTGGAACTCCTCAGACTGATGCAGCCCTCTGGATAGAGGGTGAAGTGTCTCTACCAAAAAGAAACTGTCCAGATGACCTGACGGAGCATTATTAGATTTGGTACCTTGATGACTGAGCATGAACTTTGTTGTCTAGATGAAATATAAAGGTGAACAGATTTGGATCACTATTTGGCAAGAATCTGCTCAGTTTTGTCTCTGTCACCTTTAATTAGTGCATAATAAAGAATTATTAATGATTTATAAAGCGTTTATAGAGGAATTAATAACGCATCTATAAAATATTAGCCATCTATAAGGGGAGCCTTATTGTAAAGTGGTACCAAATAAGCTACGATATTAAGGAAGGAACTGCAACAAATAAAAAGGAGAAAGAAGAATGCTAGAGGATGGAAGGGTAGGAGTCAAAAAAACAACAAAAAAACAGACAGAAATACATAAAGGAGAGGAAAACAGCAGTCTGTTCCTAAACTGTGACATCATTGCCAGCCAAAAGGCTGTGTACTGGTCAAGTGCTTCGCTCGCTTCTCATGGAGTCCCTGCATGTGATCAACACTGAAGCGCTCCTGTTGATGCTGCTGCGTGCTGCTCTGCTCGCAGACGCCTGTAAACGGATAAGTCACATGGCGAACGTGGGACTCGGCACCTCTCCATCTCCGAAAGTCTGCCCCCTCTCTCCACACATTCTCTCTTGACTTTTCTAAATTAAACCTGCAAATATCCTGTTCTGAATGAACAATGCGCACAGATCACGTACCCTAAACTTGTATTTTGTACTCCTGTGGAGATTCTTCACGGTGAAGGAGAGTTCATCACCATCATAGCTTGGCTGGAAGCCATACCCCTGGGAGAAAGATAAATGAGGGAGAAGCAAAATCATCAGCTGAGCAATCATTTGCTCAACAATCATCACAGCACAGAAAACAACGTGATCTGTGGGAGGAACAGCTACAGGTGTGAGAGGAACTTTTTTACTAGGTGTGAAACCTGCAAGTAGCTGTCTGCATTACATTAGGCTCTTTCACAAAACAGCTCAAACCAGGGCTTAGACTCCTCGTATGATCTGAAACGGGCCGAGGTTGAGACGAGAATTGAAGCTAATCCACCTCTGATGCACCTCAAAGCAAGGTAGTAATAGAGCCAAAATGGTCAACGTGTGAAAAGATAATTCAAGTTAGTGCCAAATCACAACAGAAGTCGTCTCTGGGCAATGAACAGAAACGTTATCATCATATAACAATATTGGCTAACGTTATTTATCTAAGGAGCCAGCAGATTGCTTTGAGAATCTGGGTTTGCAGCTCAGTAATGTGATGAAATACGATCTGTGCAACCACTAGGTTGCAGGAATAATCAAAAAAACAATATATTAGAGGGACATTTGATGATGATGCACAGCAACTTTGTATTTAGGTTGAAAAAATCTGTTAAACACAAAGAAAACTCCTAAACTAAATTAATGTTTAAAAAGAAAAGATATTAAAAAACTTTTTGTTGCGCTCCATGTTAATGCAGCTGAGTTCTGCTCCATGCCACTTGTGGCGTGCTCACTTCATTTCATGAAAGCTAACATTTATGTGGGATGTGGCCATCCCATGAGTGATTTGTGAACGTTACAGGTGGCACAAAGACTTTGCAGTTTGTTTTTCCTTTTGCAGCCATTTAACACAAATGTTAAGTGAAAATGCCTACGATGAGTGCAAACTTGGTTTTACTGCATTTGGGAAGATATGAGATATTTTATTTTCTACACGTTGCATCTAAAAAGGATTCAAAATAACCATTTCACTAGGACCTTCGATTATATTAAAAAATTACAAGTATTTGTCAATATTGTAGCAATTATTGAAAATTAATATTCAATGAAATATTACATTTATTGCACCTAAAGACAATAAAATGTCTTGAACTCAGATGTTTCTTCTGGATACCTAAACTTTTAAACTTAAATTTATTCTAATGTAGGATACTGTATCAAGTAATAAGCAAAAATAAATAAAATCAGCAATATAGCGCACTTCCTAAATATCGTGTGTCTGTATAAAATCTGTTTTTTTAAATGTATTATTATTTGTTTTAAATTATGTTTTTTTAAATGTATTGCTTTACAATATAAACTATTTTTTCACCTGAAAAGTGTCTTATTATATGGCAGCTTAATACAATTTTAAAAAGAGAGAATATCTAAAACTTTATGAATACTTATTAATTTCTAACAACACAGCAAAAAGTATTTTCTATAACATTGAAGTTGCAGCTCATTCATGAGGTAAGTCAAGATGAGGGGACGCTCCTAAAGTGGAATGTCAATTTTTGTCCATTACACTTGGTAATTATTTGAAACTGAAACTATGAATTCAATTACTCAACTAAATTTTAATTATTATTATTATTTAAACATTGTCTTGTGTATTCTGACAATTGTTTAAGCTTTTTATGCATGCAAAGAATAAATAAGAGTAAATAAAGCTAAAGAACTGTGACAAAATACTGTGCCTAAAGGAAAGATCTTACAAAGAATGATCTGGACAATATTTGACCATAAATGATTAGCTGCAAATATCAGAGACATACCGAGCCTTCTTCCTCCATCTCTAAAATGTAGTAGATGTCATCTTCTTTCGGGGAGCTGCTGGGCCTCTGCCACTTCAGACACAGCCAGGTCACTCCTGCCATCTCCAGCTCTGGAGGGAAGGGTGGCAATGGCACACTGCATGAGGTGAACAGGTCCACCACTTCACTGAACTCGCTGGGGAGGGCAGAGAGAGACAGGACGGGAGAGGATGGAGGGAAAGACACAGCAAAGACAGAGTGAGACATGTAAATGGACATACAGATGGAGACAGTTAAATGGAAGAAAAATAACATAAAAACAGACAACAGCGAGGGTGCCTTCGGGAAATATTCCAGCGTCTGGATGGGCGTACCTTACTCCCATGTCATTTTTTGCAGCGAGGCGAAAGGAGTATCTCGAAGCTGGAGACAGTTTGGTCACTCTGAACTGCTTCTGAAGTCCATAGTAGCATTGTTCAAAAACACCTGTGCCCTTCCCCTTTAAAAACAAAACGCATTTTACTTTAAAAATTAGCACCTTAAAGCTGCCCGTACAAACTCCAAAAACAGGGTCGCTTTAAGATAACCAAACTTTACCTCATCCCACTCAAGAATGTAGTTTTTAATTTTAGATCCATTGTCACACGGAGCCTGTCGTAGAAACATATAGTTTATTATAGCAACATTTTATTCAAGTCTGACAAATATCATCACAGTTTAGCTTTTTTTTCTAGTTTATGCAGACAAAACAATATGATAGAATATTCCATTAAAAAAAAGAAAAGACAAAAATAAAGAAATAACAGTAAGTTTTTAATGTTGCGTCCACCAGCATTATTCATTAAATCTTAGGGACGGACACTTCTTGAAAGAGTAACTTATGGTTTTGTCACAATTATGAAATTTTAGTAGTTGATATTTTAAATACAATTAACAGCTGCATAGTTTTTTTTTTTAGCTCCTTATTGTTATTCATGCAGTAAGTCAAACCAATTGTATTAATAAGTATTACTGTTTTAGCTGACAGTTAAAGGCCATAACACTTTTGTCAAAAGAAGCACAACAAACTAGTGTTTTCTGTTTGGACTCAAGTTTTGAATCACACTGTCACTGTTCATCTGAAGTTTGGTTTAATTCATTTGAAAACCGTAATGATAAAAGTTTTGATTGCATTCCATCAAATGGAAGAATTCAAAAGGCTTTACTTACTTGATCACGTAGATCTGAAAGATTTTTATGGTGTGAATGCATTCAGTCCACCCCTTCACCCCAGTACTTTTCTAAATACAGTAGTCCCTCGCTACTTCGGGGTTCGTTTTTCACGGACTCGCTCTTATCGCGGTTTTTCAAAATAAGATTGGACATGACACACAATTGGCTGATTGATGGATGATCTGCACAATCGGCATGGAATTTTGATTTAAAATAAATTATTTTAAATTAATTAGCACCAGTGTGCAGCCCAAGCTGCAGGAGAAGCTTCTTCATGCAGTGTCTCATATCTCTGCTCTTCAGCTGAGAAGTGGGCGTGGCCAAGAGCGCTGCCAAGTGGCAGAGCTGAAATCATGACATTCTGTGCTTTTTTTAAGAGCATTTAGTTTTTAGAAACATTGCTTGGAGCATTGCAAGAGTGTGGGAAGGGTTTAAAATGCCTTCATATATATATAAATACTAAAATAAACTACTAATATTCCTACCTCATGGTTTTTCACTTATCGCCAAGTTTCAGGGTATGGATCCCCGTGATAACCAAGGGGCTACTGTATTTAGTTTTATTTTAAAAATATATTGGGATCTCTGTCATTACTTTAAAAACATTGTTCTTTTAAAAATCTGCTTCAGTACACTGTTTTTTAATTTTAGCTACCATCCTGCTACTTTTAGCTTTAAGCTCATCTTTTGTCACTTTTAGCTTTCAGTTACTTTTTGTTACTTTGAACTTCAAGCTAGCCTTTTATTACTTTTGGCTAACATTTTAGATGACTTCTTTCTAATGTTAACTTTAGCAAGTATTTTGAAACTTTTAATTATTAAATTCGTCTTTTGCAACTCAACTTTTATCTTGTGTTTTACCAATTTGCTTCTGTTGGTGCTTAGTTTTTGGCTTCTTTTAGACTTTAGTTGGTATTTTGATAATTTTACCTTTAAGTTAGTGTTGTGATTCGTTTACATTTTAGCTAGTATTCTGCATCTTTAACAAGTCAATTTCACATTCTTCAGCAAATTTTCAGCAAAGTCGTTCCGCACTTAATCCAACGTTTTTCAGTCAAGTCATCTGGACAGTTTCTTTTTTTTGTGCTGAAACATTTCACCTTCGATCCAGAATGCTTCATCAGTCAAGGAAACACACAACAAAACTGATTCTTCCCCCAACAGCGTTTCAAACGTTTCAGCACAAAAAAAAAACTGTCCAGATGATTTGACTGAAAAATGTTGGATTGCATACCTGGATTATTGAGCATGGACTTTGTTGTTCCGCACTTAACATTAAAAAAATGTATATTCTCTAGTTTCACAAGTATTGTGTGTGTCATCGCTTTCTCATAGTTGTCATAGTAGGGCATATTGTTTTTGGTGTGCTTATGTTTTGTTTCCAGTTCTCTCATCAAGCTTAGTCAATTTATCTAGATGACATTTTACAGATTACTTTGATTATACTTCACCAGTTTTAATACAGCAAAACATTGTGTGAAATATTTGTGTGTGTGTTTTTTAATACCTTCCACTGGAGTGAAAGGGTGTTTTTGTTCCCACTGGCCTTCCTGGGAGGACTTGGAGGATCTGGCTCACAGCTCAACGTGGTGAAGCTCACAGCCTCAGATGGGCTGCCCAGTAAATAGTTACACATGGCCTGAACCCTAAGGAAAAATAAATGTGTTTACTCAAGGTTTCAGCTAATTAATAACAGAAACCGAAGCAAACCGGGTCATACCAACCTGACATGATAGTCTGTTGCTGGTCGAAGGTCTTCTAAAGTTGCATTTTGTCCTTCCCCACTGCACCAAAATAAAAACAAGAAGTTTTACTGCATCGTGATCCCTATGACGGGTTAGCGCTAAACTTTATGTGGTACTCACCAGTACTGGCTCTGGTATTTTCCATCTTTTCCAGTAATAGAGATGGAAACCTCATAGCTGAGGGGATCTGGAAGGGTTGAGTTGTCTTCCACAGAGTTGTTTTCACCCTCTGGCCTGGTGGGTGCACTCCAGCTGACGACTACACCTCTGGCCTGGATGTCCGACACCTAGAATGGGAAAATTTCACGTCATTCATAAAATCTTTAATCTCAAACTTTTTTTTTTTTTAAATCACAAAAATTACAAACCAGTAATCTTTTTTTTCTCTCAATCCTTCAAAATAAAAGTTACGGTATATCTCCTTTAATTTCCATACTTCAAAACAACCACTACTCTTCTTGGAGGAAGAGAGCAAGGAATGAAAAATTTCAAGCCGATGCAGCATAGAGAACAATCGTAGCTGCAGGCAAGTTCTGCGCAAAGTCGAGATTTTTTAAATTCTGTTTGGAAGCTTTAAATAGCCTGAGCTCAACTGCAGGGAAGGATTCAAGTGTGGAAGAACTCAATCCAGTCAAGTCTGTAACTCCAACCCCAAGTGCTGCAGCCTCACCTTGGTCTTTAATTTCCCACAGTTCAATTCACCTTTAAAAACCAGCACTGTTTGACCACAGGCTGAACAAAAAAACACGCTTTTTTACTAAAACTAAACTTTTCCTGCATTCCCTGAACTGTATCACAAATTTTGAAACTTTTACAAGAAGTTTAGACTTCAAAGGAAGTGTGAAAAATCTATTCTTTTTTTTAATTTTTTATCTATTTTCAACTATACATTTACCCCTCCAGCTACTGAACAGCAATTCTACTGAAATTATCAAAAATATGTTTTCTGGGGGTATTTTATCTACAAAAAAGCAGAAAATGTGTGCCTGTCTATACACATTTTTATATGTATATTTCTTTTTCAAATTTACGGTGTATGATTGAAACAAGAAGTGATGGCCAACTTTATATTTTACTTTAAAAAGAGATCTTTTTGAAAGCAAAATGAATATTCCACAATAACCGCAAGCACAGATAATTGGTAGCATGTTCAAACATAAACCCCACATTGATGCCATTTGCAAAACAAAATGATGAATCATAAATCAAGTAATCAAATAAAGGTACATTACTTTCACAGAGACATGAAGATAAGATCAATAAAATTAATACCAACCACTGGTTTACTGATATTACTCAGAATTGTGAGCAGCACCTGAGCCTCTTTGTCAAGCTCTGAAAAGGAGGAAAAAACATACATAAAATAAATGAAAAAATTTAAAAATGCACAATGAGTTTCTAAAATCAATATGTAACAAATAAGGCCAGTTAAGTTTTACAAGGTTAATATCTTCTTGGCTTTTATGGATGTTGTGTTGATGTAAAATCCATCTAGCTATAATATATACAGTAGGCCCTCGCTAATTCGCCGTTTGTTTTTCGTGGACTCGTTCTATCGCGGTTGGTTTAAATACAGTACTGTACATAATATCCCCCCCCCCCCCCCCCAAAAAAATACAAAAAATAATAATAATCGCCACCATTTTGTAATTTGTTTTAATTAAGCCATCACCGTTTTGTCAGTCTAAAGAACTACGTTACCCAGAAGCCATTTGTTCACATCCCAGAAGTCAACACTGCTTTCAACCTCTGCTTGCTGCAAATGGAGGCAAAGTTTTGCAACCAAAGTCAGAAGTAATGATAATAAGCTCACAGGACTGGCAGGAGGAAAGTATCAAATAATTCTGAAGCTGAACTCATCCTTCAAGTTCTGTCTTCACTGGTGAGTAACCGGGCTGCAGCTGATCAGGACTCAGTGTGACCCAGAACCTGGGAGCTGCAGGAGACAGACGGCTGCGAGGTTCAGCTTGGTTCTGGTCGCACAGTGCTGGTCCGGACCGAGCTAGAGGTGGTGGACTAAATCCTGGGCAGCCCTGCTCTTGGAACAACAGCGGTAGGCTTCAGTCATGCTGCACCAGGACTTTTTTCATCTATCGAGTCGGACGGAACCAAGACGCTCTTGTTCTGCAGAGACTTAGTAAGTAAAATTTTGTAGCTCCTGTACATATAAATACTGTATGTTGTTAAAATGAGCAGGTTTTAGAGTTTACAGGACTGATTTGTGGGCTTCATTGCTGCAGGATAGTCATCAGAAACGAACCAAGTCGGATAAGAATAAAACAGAGTTGGACCGGAACCAGAGCTGTTGCTGTTCTGCTGAGCTAGTAAGTAAAATTTACCATATGATATTAAAATTAGTAGGTTTAAGAGTTTAGAACATTCCAAGAGTATGGGAAGAGTTTCTAAAGCCTTAATATAAAGTTTACTTGAATTTGGACAACTGTGTCCCTACTTCGCGGTTTTTCACTTATCGTGGGGCTTCAGGGTACGGATCCCCCACGATAAACGAGAGACTACTGTATATTTATTTAGTTTATAGAAACTTAATAGAGGTTGTCCACTTAAAAAAAAAAAAAATAAATAAATAAAAAAATAAAAAATATATATATGTCTAATGTAGTTTAGCCATATAAATAGCTTTTTGTAGGCTAAACCAACACTATACGTAAGGCAGGAATGATTCTCACTTTAAAAAGCAGCTTCAATAAACTTGAATCCAATGCATTGTAGCAAAATATGTAAAAATATAAAAGAAAGACAGCTAATTATGTAAGCACATAATATCATAACTTAACACTGTAAAGTCTAGGCTGGTGGTACTTTTCTAAATTTCTTTTAACTAAAAGAGATAATTAATTCAGTTTCAATTAAGAAATTTTCATTATTTCAGTTTATTTATTTGGTAGGAAGAAAAAGACTAAAAAATGTAAAAACAATATTAATGCTAAAAATAAATACTAGAAATTACACATAATTTACAATATAACTCAAGCTGTGTTTGAAATAGAGTACAAGGGGATATAAACCATTTTTAATCCTACCCCAATGCCTTTATTTCATTACTTTATATCTTTACCTCTTGATTCTCCATTTTTTCCTTTTCCCATCTGCTTATCAGAGCAGGCAACCATATGCCTGTGATCTGCCTCTAGCCCTTTTCCTCCAATGCCGTTATGAATATCCACCACTGGGGGGCTGTTGCAGGACTTCTGGGGTGATGGCGGAGGACTGTCCTTGACCTGCCCTCCTCCTCCGCCTCCCTGGCGGTCCTTCAGTTTCTTCTGAAGACGTTCATGAGTTTTGTTAGTTCGGTCATCTCTGTGAACGAATGATGGGCGTCCATGTTGAGAGAGAGAATCTGTAGAGACTGAAAGGACAAAAATAAACTTAGTACTTGCATGAAAGTAGATCTTATAATATTTAGAAGCTGAGACCATAAACAATGCGACTCAATTAAGAGAAAACATTTCAACAAAACATTAGCTACAGTACATCACTGGTTCCTGCTCACCCTGCTCTGAGAAGATATGAGCTGGGTGGTACTGGGAGATGTACTGGGAGCTCAAGTCGCCCACACCTCCTGCCATGCCTGTGTAAAGGTGAGGTGGAGGGGGGATCATGGCGGGATGCGGTATGAAGGCAGGCAGGTGCGCATGGGGAGGAGGCGGAGGATGGTGGAGAGGAGAATGCCCCCCTGGGTGGAAATCTGGTTGCTGAGGTAAAACCAGAACCCTCCTCACTCCGTTCTCTTCTATGATCTAGGAGGAAGTAAACAAACATGAGCTCAGAAAAACAAAAATCTAATCTGCTCAGTTTATAGAAGATGACAATCTGATACTGGTGGGGAAATGGTTTAGAAAGAACACCTGTGACACATATCCAGGAGGCACATAGATTGGAGGCACTGAACCATTTGGAGACATCATGGGAACCTGAGCAGGACCTGTAAAGAGGGAATGAACAAGATCAAACACCGTCGCTCAGGACAAGCAGCTGATTCATCTTTGATGAATGTGATGAGAGTGGAAGGGACGCAAATAGGGCAGAAATTTTATCTGCAGTCTAGTCGGACGCAGAAGATTAAAGAGAAGACGTTTCTCAGAATGGCAGCTCAGAAAGGAAGCACATTCAGAAATCATCAAATCATAGGATTTACAATAAACAGTGCTCAATTTTAACACACTGTTGAACTCAAAAGTAAAGGCGGGGCTTAGAATGGAATTAATTCAGCTTCCATGAGGTTAAAGGGGAAAATGATATTCACAAGTGTCACACAATATGCGAGTTGCGCACGTTGCCACCCAGAGGAGGAGGAAATCAACCGGTCGTTGTTGCCACTTTTAAACGTAGTGTCTCACTGGGCTGTGATTGGCGACAAGATGGCAAAAGAAATTCATGAGGAAATCTCCGTAATGTAATAAATCGTTTGCAGCAAGGTATGTGATATAGGCTTAGAATGCAGTTTTCCAAGTTGTGAACAAAAAAAAAGGCCACTCTTTCAAACATAGGTCACACTAAACACTGTTGCATGGCTCATTGGCCATTTGGTTACAAACACTTTAGTGAGATTACAACAAAAAAACGTCCATCTTCTCTCAATTTTGAGACAAAATAGTCTCCAACCAATGCAGTCCAGTAAAATACAGCCTTATGTTACATTCTTTGGAGTCAAGATAAAACTTGAATGTGTCAAAAATATAAACTCTACACTGGGCCTGTCACGATAACAAATTTCGCTGGGCGATTAATTGTCTCAAAAATTATTGTGATAAACGATAATATTGTTTGAAATTTGACAATAATTAGTAATTATTGTCAAATTAAAAAAAAAAAGTTGGTTAATTTGTTTAGCATGTAGTACCTTTTTACGACCACCAGATGGCAGTATAAAACTGTTTGAACCGAAGGATGGATAGCGAGGGAGTGAGCAGCATGTCTCTAAGAAAAACGGGAGAGAGGCCCCTGACGTGACATGGTTCTCAAAATGGCGGACGCTTGGTGTGGTTTGAGCTCTTTAGCATAGCATTTTTCACACAAAGCTTTTAATAAAAAAAATTTAAAAAAATCAGAAAAAAGTTCTCAGCTTCTTTTCGCAGAGAAAAACTTTTTACACAAAGGCACATGTTTCAACCGTGAATTTTGAAGCTTGGACAAGATTGACCTCTTCTGTTCATTTAGTTTCTAAAATCTTATATTTGGTTTATTTTAGGTCTGAGAGATTTTATGCTCGTGGTTTTGTTTTAAGTGTGATTATGGATGCAATGAAATGTATTAATATTTTTAAAACTGCATTGCAGTCGTAAAAACATTGTGAAGTGCCAAAAGATTTCCCACCCCCTTAATTAAAACTTGTTTTAAAATGGCTTTGTTGATTAATCTCCTTTAATTTTCATTCTATTCTAGGACCAAAGTGCTGTCCAGAAAAATAACGCATACATGCTTTTTGTAAAGTGTTTAGGTTTGTAAAATATGCACATTTTAAACACTGTTGCAATAGGTAAACACAAATCTCACATTAAGCCACGCTGTATGTGACAACTAGCACGTTTTATATAGTGTGAAAATATGAAAGACAATACACTCGCAGTTGTTTCACTCCAGTGCAAAAGTTCCATTTTGCAGTCTCATTTCATTTACTCATTTAAAAAGACAAATGCAAGAAAGAAAAATTGTTGCAAATGTATGAGGGCTACTTTCTAAAACTGCTGAGAAACAACAAAGTTTCCTGCTCTGTTGTTGGGGCCAGTTCAGTGGCTTAGCTCAGCTCAGAGAAGAGACAACTCAGCAAAAAATGCCTCGAACAGAGAAATCTGAGCCAAGTTTGCACATTTAACTTTCTTCAAACCTAAGACAGAAACAATAGGACACCAACACCAGACATCGCCTTAAAGAGTAGAGTGATTTACTGACCTCCCAAGAAAATGCACGAGGAAAGGATTTTCCTTTGTTTTTTTCTGAAGATGTATTATTGAGGAAAAAGCCCCTCTAAATATGAAGCTATAATGGGTTCACGGTTTCTGAGAAGTTCTATAATGACACACTGAAACCTTGTACTCTCACACTGACATCTAGCACCATTTTCCTCAGGTGCTGGCATTCAGCTTCAAGCTCTCCTGGGAAAGTAACTGAAGTTTCAAGCAGGTACCGGTGCATTAAAAGCAATCCAGTTTGATGAGTAAGCCATCACAAACTTAGAAAGTCTATAGAAAACTGTACCTTCTCACATGAAGATGACATAATGAGGTCTTGAAACCGTTTTAAAAGATGTTGAGAAATTTCTGGAGGATAAAATTCATAGTGCTTTGCTTTAATTGAATGTTTTGTACACTTTTGTAGATAGAAATGAAAAAAAAAACATTGCTATATGCCACTGTTCAACAATATTACCAGCTGCAACTTTCAAAATGACAAATACACGTGAAGGCAGATTTTACAGTTGTTCTGAGACGCAACAGATAATTTGATGACGGTTCAGAGTTCAATGCTGTGCTGGATTAAAGGCCTAGTATTCCTTAAAGGGTTGCATAACACATGCTGCCTTCCATGCCAGCGTTTTAGACTAAGATTATCTTTATGTTGCTGTAGTCGTTTTGGTCAAACCTTAAAAATAATGTTATGAACAAACTTTTGCAATATTGTGAGAGATCACGATCAGATTATGAGTTAATGACTCTCAGCTACTAACACATCGTAATTTATCTGAATATCTGTAAAACTGACTGAGTTATAGCCATTTTTATGTTGGATATTGTTGATTAGCTATGGGGTCAGCATGAACTGGATTGACCCCAAAAGGTAATCAATTGTCTCAGCTATCATCATACCAAATTTTAGGTCAATATCTGTGGTGGCCATCTTGAACAGAGTTAAAACCAAATATTAATCAGCTGTAGATGTACATTCAATGACTACCTTTGCAAGTTTCATTAAAATTCATTCAGTGGTTTAAGAGATACTTCGGTAATAAGATAGGCATGCACACACGGGCAAAAACATAAATGTCGCCTTTGTTAGAACTTTGTTCCTTAGATAGAGAAGTTTACTAATTGGCTTTTTTTATATATATGTGAATGTTTCTGTAAAGTGCCTTGAGACAACTTTGTTGTGAATTGGTGCTATATATAAATATACTCAATTGAATTTGTTTTTGGCAGCTGGTGAGAACAACTTTACAAAGAATCAAACTTTGTTTGCATTGTAATAACACAAGTGAGTTTTGTGACTGGAGGAGAGATGTGGGAAGCATGCCATAACCCGTTTGTCAGATTGTTGGTTGGAATACGTTGCAGGAGTTATACTTGGTTGGATCTTGTTTCACAAATGGATTCAATCCTAGCAGAACCCACACTGGGTGAAATTGCATGATCCGCCCAACTGGTGTCTGCATTTATTTGCTGAAGTGCTGTAACAAACATTGCTTTACCCTATCATAATCTTATCCATCTGACCCAGTGTACCGCGCTATCAGTCAGTCATGCCGTGACAAAATACATCAACAGCAGCCTCACAGCGAAATGCACCTACAGCGCACAGACCAGTGAGACTGCATGGCGATTCCTACCTGCTAATAAACTGATGGCTAACAGGTACCCCTATTAAAATCAAGCAGCCAGTTAAACAATGACTCATTTCTCTACCTGAGAACACAGCATGTGCGCAAGGACTCTGTTGATGGAGAAGGGAAGATCTCTGCCTAATTGAAGGGAGTCACACTAGCTCTGCAATCGTTACTTTCATATTAGAACATAATTTGAGTGGAAGTTCAAAGTGTTTACTGTTAACTCCACTCACTTTTAAGACAAATTAGTGGAAAATTATGCCACACAGTGCTCAGCTGTGCACCTGCCTAATGTCTGATTAGGGCAATTTTTCTTAGCGCTGCTGATGCTGACTAACAGCAAACACGATGAATCACATTAGCATCTGATGTGTTGTCTATTTAGATTGGAAGCTTTATGAATGCACACGCTTGAGACAGTAGGGCTAAAGTGACCAGCAAGGTAGAAAAAAATAAAAGGTGATACGGGCCCTTACGCAAGTGAGAGAAAGAAAAAAAAGGTGGTGGTGGAGCATGTCGCACTCCCTTTTACATCAAACTGACGCACAAGTCCTGACATATCAGAATTTTTAAAACAGAAACACACACATGCACAAATCGTCTCTTCCTCCTGTGTCAGCTGGAGTACTGGTGGTGCTGACGTGGCCATGGAGTGCCAGCCTTCCAGAGGAAGCAGCCATGGGAAAATCATCACCCTCCAGAGGGAAAAAAATGAGCGGAACAAACTTAAGAGGCCATTTAAATGGCAGCTTCGGGGGGATGTATATCAATGTTCACTAAGGCTCCATTCACATGAGAACAATGTATTTCCTTAACAAGCTTTTAATTTGTCATTTCTAAAATTATCCTTGTAAACGTGGCAGAGTTTCTAGAAATGTTTTCATCAACAGATATGCAGGAAACGAACCAAATACTGTAGTAACCATGGCAGAACTGTATGCTGTGGTGTAACACCGTTATAAAAACTAGAGATGCACGATATTGGACTTTGGGCCGATATCCGATATGCCAATATGTTCAAACTTATTTGGCCGATAACTGATACCAATACATTTTCCCCCTAGACCTACTTACAGAGACTACATAGCTTTCTCTGCTGTGGAATTAAAATACATTATTTTTGAATGGTCTTTGTCAATTTGGCCTGCTACCAAATGCAGATGCCAAAAAAGGGGCTGAAAATAATGTAACACTTCAACTTGGATTATATTTAAAGTCTCTCTAACACAATGTCAACACTCGATCAGGGCAAATTTGTACCTTTTATATCAGTGAGTTTTTTTGATGGAATGGCCGATGTCCGATATTAAACTTTATTGCTAATATCGGCCAACACGATACCATGTTGATAATATTGTGCATCTCTAACAAAAACGCAAAAAAAT